GCCCGGGCCCACCTTGTTTGTTCCCTCTGATTTAGGGGGGCCTCTTCCCTGTCTCCTATCCTAGGAAGGCCCCGACTCCATCTGACCCCACTACCGGCTTCTTTCCACTCCCCCTGGCTTCTCCTGTTCAGGCTCCTTGGCTCCTTCCCTGCGTGCCGCTGACCTCTTAGTGTGGACGCCCTGACTTTGGCCTTCACCTGGGTGCCTGGTGCGCTCGCAGGCCAGGCTGAGGGACTCATGCTTGATGTGAGGGTCAGCTTTGTTTCTGGCCTGTGTCCCACGTGGACATGTTGGGATGGCCCTCTCCCTTTCCCCTGTGCCCCCATCACCGCCCCCTCCACACACACCCCTGTCTGAAGCTGCCCCGGGCACCCGCATTGGCTCTCTGGGGGCCTCAGGAGCCTGCCGAGGCTCCTGCCCTCTGCCCGGGAGGCCAGGTGCCTCTGGGAGGTGCCTCCTGGACAAAGACCCTGCCTGGCTTTCTGAGCCTTGCTCCTGCCTAGCTGTGTGCCCCTACCTGTCTCAGCCTCACTTTCTTTAATTATAAAACAGATGATAAATAAGAAAAGGCATGTCTATCCAACATTTAGTAGGTGATCACAAAATTTGCATCATTTAGGAAATGTGAAGTGTTAGATCTGATCTCCATAATTCCGTAATATAACTTTAGACACTAGGCCAAAGGGGGGGGGCATGATAAGAGAAAAAACTATTTAATGTGGGTGGTTTCTGCCTTCCATAGCATTCCGATGGCTGCTGAAGCTCCAGCCATCACAACTGCATTCCTTACAGCAGGAAGGAGGCAAGGGAAGAGCAGGTAGCTCTTTTTAAAGAATACTCACAAGTTGCACAGACATTCCTGACATCCATCAGTCTCATGGCCCTGCAAGAGAGGCTGGGAGAGATGGTCTTTATTCTGGGCCACCATGTACCCAGCTAGAGTTGGGGGTTCTATTACTCCCAAATAGGGGATGACAGATATTGGAGGATGCTTAGCAGTTCCTGCCATTTTGAGGCTCTGTTTCCCCGCAAGAAAGGGGAAAGGAAACCTTCTCTATGCCTTTAGTGTGTCCAGTAGCAGCAGCCTCTGTGTTGAGCAGGTCTGAAGCTGAGTTCAAAGTTTTCACACTCTCAGAGCCTCCTGCCCAGAGTGGAAGACAACAGGGGAGATGGAGGGGACAGGGACGCCGGTGACGCCCTACTCTGCCTGAGAAGGACCTCAAAGGCCAGAGGAATTTCAAGATGGCACCGTGGCCTGCTGGAACCCAAATCCCTTTTTGCCCTGGAAAGCATGCTTCTTCTTCATGGCTTGTGTTTTTCTGGAAACTATTAGAACTCTCCGCCCAAACCAGATGATAACTGCATGTTACTGATCTTGAGTCTTTAAATTTCTCTCTCTCTCTTTAATAGAGTGATATTTTTACTGCACATCGTGTTGGCAAAACCCAGTCTCCTTTCTCCCAGGCAGCTGGGATGCTATTATCACATTTCCTCTGTGGATTCACCTCAAGGGAGGGAGCAGAAAGGTCTCAGGGCCCCAAATGGGGATAATAATGTGTCCTTGGCCAGGGGCAGAGGTCAGAGAAGCAAAGGTGGCCAGAGAGAGACAAGGCTTGCACAGGATCACAAGAGCTACCAGTGGGGAGTGAGGAACAAAGACCAAGGCCAGGGCTGCGGGAAGGCAGCGGGTTTTCAGCTGCAGCCCCCAAAGGCGTCTGTCTCCCAGTGTGTCTGCTTGGCTCCGGTCACTGCCCTTGAAGGCAGAGCTTGGTGGGTCTCCATGCGTCATCTGTGTCCTCTGGAGTCAAACAGACCTGGGACTCTGATCTTCGTGGCCCGACCTTTTAACTCTGGGCCTTGAGCCGGTCACTGCTTTCTGAGCCTGTTTCTCCCTTTGACAGAGGTGTCACAGCAGCTCCGATCCTGGGGTGTTGCAAGGCTCACATGGGATTGTGCCCCGAAGCGCCCCACAGAGCTCGGTCGTATCATCAGTGTGTGACCCCGCCTGCCCCTCTCTCAGGTGACAAAGCCATCCCATTTAGCCACCTAGACTTGCACCTAATAACCCCTTGTGCCTTCTCCATCCCAGGCTGCGTGCTGGGCCTGTGGGGAGTGGGTGGGGGTGGGCAGGGGCCCGGGCACTGAAGGCCTTGATTGAAACTTGACACTTTCCCCTGGGGGCAAAGGAAGAGTCACTGGAAGATTTTCATCCAAAGTGATCTGGGGATTTGGAGAGGCTACCTCGGGGCTGGAGAACGTTGGCGGGAGGTTGACCAGGGGAGCGGGGATGTGGCCGCGGGGAGGCTGTGTGGTGCCCAGGAAGTGAGGGGTTGGGGATGTGGCCAGTGCCAGGCTGCTTTCACCTCCCCCCCACCCAACTCTTTCTAGAAAGCCCTTCCCCACATCCCCCAAAATAGACTGAAATGAATTCACATCTAACTTCTATTTGTATAATCAAAAAGCTTTTTGATAATGCTGCTTCTAAAATTCTTTGCCTACGAGAAATTCATTTAATTATGATTGGGCACAATTCCCCCACTGAGGGTCCAGTATTCTCGGGAGCTCTTGCAAAATGAAGAGATCTGACCTATAAATTCACGTCAAATATAACAAAGGCGAATGGTGTTTTT